AGAAAATAGATTCTATACTTGCTAAAAAAATAATTCATAACCTGATGCGTCCTCATATTCCAAAAACAGTATACAGTACGTATGTTTATAGTGACAAGTGATAATGCCCAAAATGACAATAAAACATGTCGATCATCTTTTTGGATAAAGGTTAAAACTAGCCAATGGAATTATCTTACGATCACGTTTCTATTAAACATATACCTCCTGTAGCTAATTCCATTTATACAATTATAGTAGTAAAAGGCCATGTACAAAATATAACTGGAAGATGTCACTTCAAGCATCCAAACATGGGGAGATAAGATCATAAATGTAAATTGAATAGGTGAATCATGAAAGTTGGTACACCTGGAACCCGCAATATGAGTCTTTAAATAAGCTTGTATTTTATTGAAATAGAAAATAAATAAGGTAAACAATAAACAAGCATGCTCACAAATAAATCATACCTATAAACACGCACACTTACAAAAGGTCATAAAAATGACTCATTAGTTACTTGAATTCTGATTTCATCATCTGACCAAATGTAAGAACAAATTCACGTAGGTGTATTGAAAACCATAACGATTTACGTGATCTTATTTTTGATGCGTTTGGTTTGGCCACTGGTTGTGAACAAACATAAGAGTTCAGCTAAAGAATGTTTAGTTTGTAAAATATGGACATGGATCATAATACATAATTTCTATTTGTTCTTTCCTTCTTTCTTAGTAACAAGTTAATCTTTCCGGAATTATTGGTTAAAATATCTACTTATTCTTAATATTATTATTAGTAATAATAGTTATCATAACTACTAATTTTCACTCATTATTCATATCTTCATTGTGATATTTTCTGTTCTGGTTTTTCGTTATGGGCATACTACAACAACAACAAATTCACCATATTTCCCAAGCTTTATTACTGAGCTTTTTCTGTGTTTCCTGTAGTAATAATTAATGCATAATAACAAGAATACGCCTTAAAGTCTGTTTTTGTTTTTGATTATATGGAAGAATTTTTACTGTTCTTTTCTTACTGTAAATGAAAAAAAAGATAATTCATAATTATCCATTAACTTTTCCCCTTTTATATCAATGAATTTGTGTACTTATGCAATATATTTTATTGTTAAGACATAAAATGTACCAAAGCTAGTATCTCCAAACTTGCTAGAAAGTTACCTGGTTTGTTACATGTATCTTCTGTGGTAAATATGTAGTATTTTTAATACTGAAAAATATTTTAAAACTTACTCATGCCACGTTTATGACGCCTCAGTATTGACTGTCAATTTATGTACTATTGATAACTGGGTTTAATAAATTTGGCTTTTTTTCTAAAGTGTATACGATCATATCGCTAAGATTACCATAATTTTTGCTATTTCACATTTCTGATCAATTTTCTTTACGAAAACACACATTTTATAGCAACTTAGAAATTGCAATTTCTAGGTGTAGACTTTTATTATTATTATTATTATTATTATTATTATTATTATTATTATTATTATTATTATTATTATTATTAACATTTAAGTTCGCATCATTTGTACTGTAGTGAACGAGAACTCAGGTACGGTAAACTAATCTTTTGTTACATGCGAAATTACACAATACCTTTATAAAATATGAAGATTATACTTTAAATACATTATTTGCACGTCTTCCTTCACATATTCTCTACATACTTCTTGATTCTGTTTAATTATGTTGTGATTACAATTTCACTCAGTGTTACTTTCTCTTTTTAATTGGATGTTCTTTGGACGAGCATTCCACTTCCGATTGTTGCAACATACAGCTTAAATCTGTCAGCATAAGTAGTACATGCAACTGTACGATTACAAAACAGATTTTCTAGATTTAATCCAAACATTTGATATATTAAAAAATAAAGGTTCATTGTCATATTTTGTTATTTATCGTAATAATAGTAGCATTGATTCGTGATCCAGAAATTGATTGATGTGAATCATTCAACATCAAAATATCTCATCGAAATGATCTTCAAGAAATACTAATAAATCAACTCTAATAAGCTTTTAATTTTTTAATTGAGCTACTATTTAGTCTAACTTAGTAAATATTTCCTTGATAAACTAATGTATGGTTGGTTTAAAATTGTACTGTAGAAAGAATTACTACACATGGCTTCTGTCGTAGTGAGATTACATAACAATAGGATTACTATTCTCTTCTGAAATTCGAGACTTAACTATGATATATAACTTAACTAATTTTTGTTGAATGACATGTAATTATTTCGACTATATATTTATAATAATAATAATAAGGCTAATTGTTTAATTTGTAAACATTTATTTCATACTGGCTAACAATGTTATCTGTTTCTAAATCTTATGCAATATAGATTTATAGCAAAATGGAACGAATTAGCCGCCCTTTTTTGTCATGAAATAAGCTTCCTAAATAGATGTTTTTCATTTTGTTGCACATAGTGTGTTAAAATTATCGGGACAATTCACATGAGGTCGACTGAAGTCAGCAAACTGTTTTGATTTATCAGAATATTGATAAATCAATATGCATTAATAATAAATGGTTGTGCTAAAACTCTCAAGGTGATAAACTCAGAAAGAATAATCAATTGACAGCATCGATAAATACAATAATGACTAGTTCAATATGATTGAATACAGAAAAATATATCAACCAACAACAGAACAGTTATTTTACGACTAACTAATGAAATACTATAAGATAAGCGATAAAAAGCTACTTAGTCATCAGTAATGCGATTTTAATGCATAAATCCCTCACAGTGTGCTTTGTGAGTTATTACAGTTTTGGTCTTTACGGTCCTGGAATAGAGCCATGTATATGTATAACCTTAGTTACACATGACTTATAGTATCTAGTTGGTTAAGACGTATAGATGAAGCAAATGAAAATGTTTCGGACTATTTAACCTGATCATTGAATTATATCCTTCTGTGAACTAGAAAATCATGTTGAAATTTTATTTTACTGAATTCAGGAAACAATTTAATTCAAAACCATATTTCATAAACATACACACCAGTTGGTGTTTTCTAAGGATACCTTTTTGTATTCAACCTATTTATTTTGTTTTGTGACGTTCTAAATTTTAACAATGACATTTTATAAATAAGAACCATTCTTTGACATTATATTATTACTGAAAAATCTTATAAATACTTGTAAGCTGTTTCTCTTTTTTAAGACTGTAAATCTGTAAAATGTATACACAAAATCAAAGGTCATCCCTTTCTATCTCATAAAGTGGCTAAAGACGTTATCAGATATGACTCAGAATTGGAGCCAGTGGCAATCTTACTATAACCTTCTTTTACTTTCTTCATAAAAAGTGGTTGCTTCTTTCTTAACTGAAAGACCTCTTCTGATTTTACGTTTCTGTTTCCCCTATTATTATTATTACACTACCTTACACTAATCTGTTCGTTTTTTTTCTTTTACGCTCCTTACCTTTTTTTCCTTTTTCTCTTCAAATTCTCATTGTTTTGCGTGGCACATATATATTTGATGCCCTCTTGTACCAATATTTATGTGTTCAAATAAATAAATATAAATCTATCTCATAAATCAACTGAAATATAAATGAAAAATAGTTTCATTCTACTTATTGTGAATATTTTTTAATAAATTCCATTTCAGAACAATCATATTAATTATTGTTAATATTCTAAAGTAGATACTTTTGTTTCCTTAGGCCAAAACATTAATTGACACCAATTTCATTGAATAATTTGAACTTAGAAACTTTCATTTCCTTTTTATTCAGTTATTTGTAAGTAATCTGATTTAGTGAAAACTAATATGCTTCTTTATAATTTATGCATATTTATCCGTAACTTTTAATAGAAACATTTTTTTCGTTAGTTTCTCTCCTTACAGAATTGTAATTATTCAGTATAATTTTTTTTAAGATTCAATATAAAAATGTTACTGGCTATTCTATTGACATTCATACCATTTCTATGTTTTAACCAGTCTCTGGGCTTATTGTTTTCTGTACTACTATTATGTTGTATGAATAAATATTTGGGAAGATATAAATTTCTCTTTGTTATCTACACTCTATATTACATATCTTGATATAAGTTTTAATTTAATGAATCAACCTCTAAGCTACCAATAATTACCACTATGCAATTCATATAAATTTTTAACCTATCGTAGTTGAAATCTTTTCGTAAGACCGGATTGGTAATTTTGGTGGAGTTTTGTTCTCAGAGCTACAAATCTTCTCCACCACCGAATTGGTAAAGAAATACCGACGACCTTCGGTAAACTAATCAGAATTAAAATAATACATTTTGCATGTTTGCATGAAATTGAAAACATAGTGAAAGATAGCTTGTATTTCATTGTAAAGTAAGTGAAATTTGGCAATATATGGTTCCCTAAACACGTATAATTACTTTTTTTAAAAATATCTGTTGTGTTGCCAAACAGTGAATGTGACGTAATGTTTAGGCTAAATTACAAGAAATACTTGGTACTGGTGCAGATTTTATGTAATATTACTTGATATGATTCAATGAATAGTTGAAGATGTTAGAATTCTCCAACTTTAATTCTCAACCGTAATTTTCATAAGCTAATCAATAAAGAACTGACAAAACATCACTGCAATGTAGCTAATTTCATTTCGTAACAAAAACTAATCCTAACTTAGTACACTTATCCATTTCCTAATAAGTAAACTCAGCCTTCTACCTCTACTATCATGAATAATTTAACATGTATAGTTTGGTAAATCCTACAAACTATTTATCGCTTTTCATTGTTAGTTATTGTATAACTAAACACTATCCACTGATTGGCTCAAGGTCCTCAGTATCGCTTACTTTTATCACAGAATTTCACCTTCTTGTGCATCAATATTATGATCGTGTTTTAGTTATAAAAAAGACGACAAGCTGTTCTATTCAAAACTGCTTTATCGTACTATTATTAACATTATACATCGTTTTTATGTATATTCTTTATATCAATCTGCAGACGAATGCCACAATTCAATAATGGTCTTTCTCAAAGTGCAAGTACTGGCAACCTTCCAGGTACTATATCTTCCGGTGGTATTGGTGGAAATACATTTATGACTACTAACCCATCGAATGGCTCAACACCAAATACCACTTATTCTACTACTAATGCACCGTGGGTTTCATTTGATCCTCTTTTTAATCAATCCCAATCAAGTGCAATAGCACCACCGGTTCCACCACCGAAATTAACATCGTTATCTGGTAATCTTGGACATCCAAGTATACCGGAGTGAGTTTCAGTCAGTTGTGTTGATATTCAACTTCCAGTTAATATTTTGATTACTATTTGTTATTAACAATGATTCTGTATAACTTTTGTTTATTTTAGCTTAATAATTAATATGAAGCAGTTTTTTAATTCGAAGATCAAATCTAGTTCAGTTGCAATAACGTAAATACAGTAATATTTGATGTCACATGTGACTCCATGTTAACAACATTTTTATAAGTTGACGTCACTTAAAAGGCTATAAAACGTAACATACTTTGGACATTTGTTATAACATTGTACGTGGTCAGTAAATTAAATCATTTTAGAGACCAAACCAGTAGTCTTTAGGTCATTTTCTAGACCAGTAACGCGTTCACATTTAGTATTAATACCAAGGTTTAGTTTGATATTTGAAGTAAACTTATTTTAGGACAGGCTGTTTATTATAAAAATAACAATAAAAGGAACAATAAATCTCCATTTACTAAACTTTTATTGACATTACACCAACCGTTCATTAAATTCTGCTCGGAATTAACTGAACCTACGAAATAAGTAAATTTTTTCCCATTACGATCTACACTTCTTGCATTGATCTCAATCCTTCAGTTTAAGAGTTTCCAATGTCTGCAGTAATATATATATATATATATATATATATATATATATATTCATCATATCTAGATATGTATACGCACAAAGTTGCTTAAGTAATCAGATTATGAATTTGAAAATTACTCGTTAAGTACCTGCTACATAATGATCTTTTATTTGAAATTTAACCTAATATTTTCAGTGTTATCACTTGATAGTGTTCCATATAAAGTGTATTAGAAGTTTGTCAAATAACCCTATGTTTGACCCTGTATATGAATAGAACTTTGTTGATATGATTATTCAAGCTATAGATGTCGAATCGCTTAACTTTAATCGTTCACATCTTCAATGTTAGTCATTGCTTATAATTGATTTAAACAATTCTCTCGTTATCTATCTACAAACACATTATCCACCTAGGAAATTATTTTCATATCTAACTATGTTCGTCTTTTCTTAATTTCATCCTGATAAGCTTTTATACACCAAATTATTAAAAGCATACACATAATAGGTTCATTTGGTTTCCAACGTGTTATACTGCCACTAATCTATTTATTCATTGGATTAAAATCTGATACATTATATATATTGTGTGGCGCATATATATTTTATGCTCTCTTGTACCAATATTTACGTGTTCAAATAAATAAATGAATAAATAAGTTGGCTATAGATTTATTGTGCATAATGTGTTTTACTTTTATTCAAACGTTTTCTGCATTTTTTGCGCTTACATTTTTATTAAATCTAGACGTCCAGGTAATGTTGGTATGCCGCGCATTCCTCCTCGACCAACTTCATGAATCAGTGTGTTGTTTATTTATTTATTCTAATTTACGCATATACTTTACGGATTTATACATACATATTCCAGGTTAATGTCCTTTGAAGTATTTTTCCCCTCATTTTCATAAACCAATTTTTAAAAATAATATTGTGTATGCTCAACTGTTTTCTACCCAGACGTTTGTATGGTGGTATGTATCTTGTTTTCACTGTTTAACAAGTAAACGAAAATTTTATTCATCTCCTTGTTTACTTGTTTTTATCACTGTTAATTCCTATTGTTCTCACAATGCAGTTTTATCATAAAGCCAAAAATATCCAACACAAATGTATTCGTTGGTCGATTTCTCTTTCTACACGTATTTCGCTCGTTCTCATTCGCTCTCTTAACACTCAGAATATTATCCATACACTCACATATGTATCTGAAATCTCTTCGGTTACCTGTGTATCGTTTTTATTTTTTTCAAAGATCTCACGGGTTCTGTCATTTTTTCCCAGTACACAATTTCATTTTTGTGTATAAATGTGTGATGTTTGCTTGAATAATCTCTATTTTAATAATGATTTTTGATTTTTATTTCATGCGTTAATGATTTTGATCAGTTCTATATACTACTACTTACTTACGCCTGTTACCCCTCGTAGAGGAGCATAGGTCACCCACCAGCATTCTCCGTACTACTAATATATATTCCGTATATTCGTCCGACATTATATGTAGCCTTATGATTGGTTAGTTGTCTGGTTGGTCAACTGATTTGATTTTCTCTGTCATTTTTGATTAAGCAAATATTCTTCCAGATTTCTATTCACTCTTCAACACTTGATTCCTGTTTTTTGGTCAGGATTAGTGTATTAGATGCAGTGAGATTTCTCCCTATCTACTGTTCATTTCGACCGACCTTACCTTAAAAAAAATAATAAAACACTTGATATTGTTGTCGTTTTAACTCACTTCTTTGATAATGTTTGTTTAATCAAAATTAGACAAGATGGTAAAGTTAGTCTTTTGCAAGTCAGATTCTATATCAACTTGATTGACTTTCTCTGTACTAATTCACTTCAATTTATTCAGTTTGTTCTAACTATAGATGCTTCTAGTTTATTTCAAGAACTTTTTCTTTTTTTTAATGGTCATCTAACTATTGAAGTGAAATTTTATTTGAAAAACCTAATTTTCCTATGAAATTGAAATCGCCTTTCATTTGTTCTTTTACTGAATCATTTAATGTCTTTTTATACTTTAGTATGTGAATACCTTGTCATCAACTTCTCTCTCCTTGGAAATTAATTATTGTCTAATTATTTTGTTTCTTTTTTCTAATGAATTATGTTTTATTTGTTCATTTGAACAGTTTGAATTTTTATTTAAGAATATAACTATCCTTACTGCTTTTCTATAAGAAGATTGAATCGATATTGTTTATATATGATGAATTGAAATGCAAAATCAGTTTCTTTATTTGTTTCATTTTTTTAAAGAAAATAAATTTTCAGAATGAATTTTTGTTTGGTAAATGCAAACATATGTAGCCAAAATAGTCTAAGGAACTTTCTAATCTACGATCCATGATCTGAAATCCATAACCTTATACACTAAGTCACGTGCTCAATTGCTTAACAATACATAATGAGGATAGAATAAATAATCGTATTAAATATGCTCAAAAACATTGAAATTCCGAGATCTGCTCTAAATGTCTTGTAATAGCTATTAATCAACAAGCACTTATGGATAAAAGGTTGAACGTATATGAATTTATTAGAATGATAAATAAAAAGCATAATTATGTACAAAGGATTTCATACGGACACAGAGTTACAGATCAATTATATATATATATACTCATGCTGCTAGATTGGCGTATTATTGTTTCAATCCATTTACTGAGTTCAATCCTGACGTATTATTTCAATTTAAATGAACTTGTATCACATACAACGAACAATCATCGATTTATTACGACCATTATCATACTAACATAGAAAAATTTACGTTTCTTTGACTTGGATGCTTATAAAAGTTAGTGTACTTACTGATTTTAGTACTTTTTTGTATTATCAACCTGGAGTTTATCCAAAACCTAAGTTAGAATCAGTACAATATGTTTGTGAAGCACCAATATTTTGTAATTAGTACAGGAATAAGGTGAATATGAGACAGTTGAGAGAAGAGAAATAAGGGATACGCATATCAACTCAACAAATGAGTAATTCTTTAAAATAACACTGCTAATTAAGTGAAAACAGGTTGCAGTAAAGTTAGACCGAATCGATGTAATATTCGTTTCAAGTGCTATTTGACTATTCATACGTTTAGTTTTGAGCATAACTAGAATCAATCACGACTACATAGTAAGCATTTTCACTTAGTTTCACTCATCACTTCTACTGCCCTTTGGTTATGCACCTATAAAACAACCCATAAATTCTAGAATCAACCATATGACAAGACTAAATTCTGCTTATGTCAACTACTCATTGTGATATTTTAGCAAATCTCGTGAAATACATCAAAAGCTGGGCACTTACGAATTCCGTTATAAATCTTGAAATCAGTTAGAACTCATACTTGAATTCCTCCAAATATTGTTTTTCTTTTCTGTTCAATACGAGGTTCGGTACATAATTAGTAAATTTATTTATTAGTAGTGCGTAAGACATCATACGTAGTTTTTAAATATGAGCTTTACAAAATAGTTTGAAGTTTCTGCTATTGTTAACCACGAAAGACATACTCATGTCATTAACTCAACTAATATTTTGTATGTCAATTAATTATTATTATCTAACTGATTTTTTAAGACTACTAACCAAAAGTTTAAGCTCTCAGCTGAGACTAACAAACTTATACTTGAAGGATATATCTATATATAACCATGTTGTTTTGTAATATACATTTATTATCGCTACATGCATCTAAGAAAATGATTGCAAGCACAAAATACCTCAATAATGGACTTTGATCCGCGATACTTTAATGCTCACTGTATCGCATTCAACACTTCCGATCATTTTTGCGTTGACTCAACTGACGAATGCTGCATATCGAATTGTAATTCGCTCTAAAATTTCCATTTTGAACCCTAACCTTTACTACAGTTGTGTTTTTCATCTGGTGTATCTCACTCTCATGCACTGCATATTTCCATAGCTGCCAGTTGTGTGTAACTCGAACTTCAAAATGTCCTCTTTATTAACCAACATAGATTGAGAATCTCCGGAAATGTGAATAGCTGATCATCTGTTCGAACGATCACAAATCACTTTAAATGTGCTTTTTTTAAACATCTTAATCACCAGGTTTTGAATGACGGTGGCAACGTAGGTTGACTTAAAAAGTTTACCTTTAATTGCTGATAAAAAGTAGCAACTTAATCCAAATTTCAAAAATAACATTAAATTAAAATACTGCGATATTCGCAGAAAGAGAACCAAACTATATAATGTGATCTCCACCGACAATGAATCCACTGTGCTACGGTATCCTCTAGCATTTGACAATCTGACTCAAAATCAACCGACTTTCAATTTACTTATAAGAAGGACCAACCAATCATTTTGAATCATTCAAACTCAGAAACGCTTGATTGCATACATTTGATATGATATTACTACGAATCATCAGTAACAAATTTCAGTCTCTAAATAATTAAAATATTCTTAAGAAAACCTGAGTAACTGGTTTATAGTAAATTTATGGGCGGCAAAAGACATCACACCAGTTAGTGAGTCAAATCACTAATTACAGATATGATAAAATAGTAATATTATGAACAGACAATCTAGTAAAAACAAAGTATACAAACTTTTCCCATAAGAGAAAGTTCGAGTTTTGTCATTTCCATTTCAGCTCTTATCAAACCATGTTAAGCATAAAACCTTAATGATTTTATTATTGATAACTATTGACGTTTGACTCCTAAATCATAATTCAAGTAGTATCCAGAGTAACAAAAGAATAAAAAATGGAAGAATATACCACTGAAATATTTCAAATTATTTTTATATTTATGTAGAGAAACAGATAGTGTAATGAATGAATATTTGATATGGATTGCCTGGACTGTTCCTAGATGTTACATACTATTCAAACAATTAGATTCTTTTTAGAATACCTGCTTGTCTATTTAAGCTCACCTTGAATAAACTAAATTTTCCATGGAGAAACTTAATCTGCATAGAATTTTCAGAGTAATGCCATAGAACAAAACATGATTTTATTTATAGCACAATGATTTTAACAGTTTTACTTTAGTTATCACCTCAAGATGATCTGAGTGATATGAGAAATAAATGAGGTAATTGCACACTTTTCTCATCCAGTGTAATGAAAAACTCCCAAGAAGACCCTGGTGTGATATCATCTGCAGTATTCACATTTTCTGGGTAGAGCTCATCAAAAAATGACATTGGCTAACAAGTTACTAAAGATTTCTGTAATAATTCAAAACTCTATACAAAATTAAATGTAAAAACTTCAAGTTTCACGACGAATACAACATATCTTGACCACGGAATTAAGAAAATTCAAACATCCACATTTTCAACTGTGATTAATTTTTGTTCTGAACTGCAGTCATCTAATAGTATCATTGATCAGTTAATGTCTTTACAGCTTTCTACCAGAACTTAACGAAATCTACCCTAAAGTTATTCATTTTTAATGAGTATAGAATCATACTTTAAATGTCCATTTTTCCATATGACTTTAGGCTCTGATAAGAAATAGGAAAAACTTTCAAAAATATGAAAATCTTCATAAGATCACATTTTGATATGAAGTTTTGAGGAAAAATATCACCAATGAAGTAGAATAATTGTTAAATGTGAATATTGAAGACGTTTATATTTAATTGTTACAACTCAACACCTTAAGCGACTAATAATGGCTAATAGATTTTACCCGAAAAATTAGTATACTAATTTCTTATCTAAATTAATGTAAACACTTAGAACAATCATTTGTTTCTTGCTTCTTTTTTGTAACCATGTGAAATTGTTGCCAATAGAATACTTAAACATTTAATTTTTAAATTAACTAAAATGAATTAAACATTAATTTATCATCTATAAGCGGTAAAAGGGATCTATCAAGAATAAAATAAAACATTTAAAATTTTCCCACTTAATCAATTTTAAACTCTCACTTCCGTTTAATGTAAAAAAAGAAAACAAAACATTAAACAGTTGTCATGACAACCTAATATGAGAAAAAAATTTTCAATATTTATAAAACAATTAATTATACTTTTTTGTATTATTAATTATTCATTGCTTAGAAGAAAAATTGTGAATAGTTCTTTAGTCAATAGAATTTTCTATTCATATAATGAAATGTGGTATATTAATAACTATAGCCTCAAGGTTATCACTTCTAATTCGGTTATGATTCAATGATTTTATTCACTGTCAATTAATATAACACAAAAATTACTAACAAATTATATTATTATCAGTATAAGAATTTGTGAATATTGTAGTATTTTCACAATCGAATTCATAAGTCGAACTGTGCTAGACCACCATTGAAAACATGATCCTGGTTTTGAGTCCCGTGTACGAGATCGTGGATGCTCACTGTTAAGGAGTTTCATACTAGGCTGAAACAGCCGTTCAGCGCTTCTAGGTTTTTAATGGTGATCCAGATTAGATAGACTAGGGAAATCATATTTACTCAAATAGCGGAACTATTATTTGAACATTTTTGGTTATAATGTAGGAAAATTAGTTTCGTTACATAGGAAATAATAAAAATTCTTCTACAAAGTTCCCAAAGTATCTTTATCAGTTTTCAGCAATGAAGATTGAATTTACTGTTTTAAATTTATTCGACATGGTGGATAACTCGAGATAATGAGAGTCAAAGTGTCAATGAAATGTTGTAACACTGTCAAGTGTCAGGTTATATAGTGGTTAAGTCTTTCATTTTCGTTCAATATAACACCTCGTTTTGATAGCTGTTTATTATATATTAAGTGAGTGTGGATTTTGTTAACCAATAATTAAGTAGTCAATAATTGTTAATATGGAAGATGTTTTTTGTTCCAGATGAATAAAAAACCTCTAAACTGTGTTTATTCTCTTCCTTGCAACGACCTGTATCAAGTGTCAGTTATACCACAGCTAATATCCCTCTCTATTTAAAGTTATAACAGGTTTTCCCAAGTTTAATATATAGTAGACGTCAAAATGTCTACAAAAATGCTTAACTGTGACTAGAAGTAGGATTCAGGACAAACGTTCCATTTTTTGCGCATGTGTCGTAAAAAGTTGATCAAAATTTAAGAATGTTGAGATACTTCAAACGCTCGTTAGTAATGTCATAAATTATATACCCGTTGAACACGCTATTGAAATTCTGAACTCATTAGTTCAAAGGATTAACCATTTGGATGTGAGGTGTAAGGCACTGGGTTGGAGTTCTGATGTTAATGTCAACACTTGGATGCAGAAACATCGATCTAACAAGTCCAAAACACAAGAGACCTGTGTCCTAGATTCTATTTCTAGCCATAATCTGTCCATTCTATAGTAGAAATCATGTTACGTCTGACTGTTTCGGGAACAGACATCCAGCTATGAGAAAAAAGCTTCTCAAGTCCGTCTGCTTTTGAAGAGTTTTTCACTTGATCTCACACTGTATTGAAAGCTATCAAAGTATGAAATATTTACTAATTGATCGAAATCTATGATAGTATTGTTGATAATGGGTTTTCGTTGTGCTCGATAAAATAAAGGTTTCTATTAATTTCTGTCAAAATCAGTTATATAGCCATTAATCAACACATTTTACAATACGGTATATCAACTATAATATGACAAGTATAACAGCTTTATGAAATTTTTTTCATTACACCGACAGTAACTAATTAAGAAATCATATGATAACTTTTTCTCCTTATTCATTTCGCATGAATAACGACCTTATGAAAACACATTGGTTATACTTGAATTCGAAGACTAGGCAATATCTATTGCGTTATCTGACTTAAATCCTCTCATAATGAAAACTCCATTATTATATACTAAGTAACGTTATTATACATTATCCTTAGGCATATGTACATAAATATATCAAGGATGTTATTTAATGATTAAAAAATCTTTGTAAATAGGGGACATCTTATAGAGTTAAGAAAATGTTCAATATTTACCGCGACCAATAAATTTCTAAAAAATGTCACCGTTCATTGTGTTTTACTTACATTACTGACTCAATGAATATACTACTAGTAAAGTGTTTTGTTTTAATACTTGTTTATAAAACATAATAATCTGCCATATTCTGCTTAAAATTGAACGTATATTATTACATTGTTCCCGCAAATTAAAACAGACGTGGTGTGACTTAACAAATCCAAAACCAGTATATGCATATGTAAGGGAAATAGAGTGTGCGTTGGTGTCTTGTTGCTAAAGTTTATTAACTTAAGAATACTCCTACATTGATTTGTTAAACATTGTTGTAAAGTAATACACATTCAAAAAATAATTAGTCATGCACAATCTGTTAGAGAAAATGTATCAAATATATTATTTTTGGTTGTGTCATATTCTCTGACAAGAATGATTTAATAGTGAAAAATTCGCTTTCATTTAAGTCAACTTCATCAACATCTACTTTTCAGTCATACCACATACCTCAGAGAAATCAGCTCCATAGAATAAGTCAAAATGTAATACGAAATTACACATCTGCCTCAAATTTTTACGAGTATAATACCCCTCAATATCTTCGAAATTAGAGTACTTCACCAAACGACAAACTTTAACAAACACCTCGTTCAGTGAGTTTAACCAACAATTGTCCGAAGTACAACACTAATTAACAATACATCTCAATGTAAAACGGATGAATATTAATAAGGTGAATAGTTTATGCTTCTGAAAAAAAAAACAACTCAAATCTTTAATGTTCACTTAGCTTTCTTCAGTGTTGTTTGGTGTTTTTCGAAATAAAAAAAAATCATCAGTGAAAATGTTTTACACATAAAATTTGAAAGTATATTTGGTGATAAAACAACGGTAATCAAAGTAGATACTTCTATTTTCGGAACATAATCATTCATATGTAACGATTGTTTTTATTACCTTGATCAATTTGTTACATAACATATTAATAAAACGATTCACTCACATGATACCTTAACATATACTTCAATTTGTCTACTATATACCTTTGATTGTTAACAATAACATGAATTTTAATATGGAATAAGATAGTTAGTTTGATAAGTTTCAACGGCAAATGCTTAGGAAGTTTAAATTAATTTTAATAAAAATATTTAAATAAACTATAAATCAAAGTTCTTTCTAGTAATATCTATATTGTTTAAATCAATAAAGTATGAAAATATTTGACCATATGATTATTTGAATCCCTAGTAGACTATTTTAGGAGACTATTTTCTAAGTGTACTTAAATCGAAAAAAAGGAAAAGTATTGATGATGTTACAAATGGAATCATTTATTATTTATAGTAATGAATACTGTCTTACTGAACGATTATTAGGACATGTAAATCGATTTGTTTGTTTAAATTGCTTAAACATCAAGTACCAATGGTTCTATTGTTCATTGTTGAATTTATTCAACTTTAACGAAATTTACTTAACAATTGTCTATTAAAATACAAGTTGAAGTCAAAAAATTGTACATTTTCTTCGATAATTTAATGGGATTACAGAATAATAAATAAGGACTTTCGTCTTAATTTGATCGAATAGTTTCACTGTATTTGGGCACCGAGTTAATGCGAGACATTAAAGAGGAAGAATGTATTAGTAAAAACTCAACGAAACAATTTGACAAAAGTTTTTATTTATTATTCTGCAATCGAATGAAGTAAAACAGTTCGTCACATTGAAAAATCGACAGTTATTTAAAATACAGTTTATCGTGATTGTTACACTAACTAATGCATGTATACATATGTAAGTATGATGGAAGTTATATGTCTTGTAAAATGACATCTGTAGTTTTTTTGCAAACGTTTATTCTGATACTTTAATCTGTACTTTAGTAATATCTTTTGGGTAATATCATTACATGTTGCTTAAATTGTTTCAAAGAAACCTCGACGTTTATAAGATTGAAAGGTAATATCAGATTATCTTTGAACATATTACAAAATAAGTGTGTCACTTATGAGCTTCATTTGAGTGGATTTTAATCAATAACCGGAAACTACTAATATTTTCGCACTCTCCTTTTTTAAGTCTTGTATCCATGTTTATCAGAATGAGGTAGGAAAAAATCTTATCTAACTGTTTACAGAATATTTTACAAACCTTTTAATTTGTTTAAAAAGAACCGCTTATTACGCCATGATACGTTGTACAACTATTTGGTTCTCTAACGACTGATTGTAAAACTTTCATGTTTTAACGATATTGCATTTTTTCAGAAAGTAATGATTGTAAACACTGTTACTAGTATGTTCAACCCAATATATCATAGAGCTACATATATTTTTCATTGTTTTTTTTAGAATAAACATTACTTAATATATATTAGATGCAATTTTTTACGTGTATGTTTCTTAAGTTTACTATTCATGTTAGTACTTTGTTCAATGATATTACAGATTCCTATGGATAATCGTTGTTTTTTTATTAGTAAGTTAACTGTAAATCAACATCCAATTTATAATTAAAACCTTCATAACTATTAGATCAGCATGACGATATAATGAAATGAGCAAAATAAATAAATCGGTACTCCGTTCAAGTAATCGTACTCAAAATCTTAACAGACTAAAGTATAACTAATAAAAAACAGTACTTATCCAACCGGCAAAGTAAATGTATGCATAAAAGATATTAATTCTAAATAAAACATCTAATCAAAATGTAATAAGATCATGAATTATTTGTTAGTCGGTAAATAAGCATTCAAACATCAACCAAAAACATCTTAAACGAAACAACCAATGTCCATCTATTCTCAGAAGGAGTTTTGTGGGGATTTTTAGAAATTTCACTGGTTGAAATCATGAGTCCATTGAAGCTAGACTACCATGGAAAATCAGGAAGCACTGGACGACCGTGTCGTCCTAGTATGGGACTCTTCAGCAGTGCACATCCACGACCTCGCCCCCCGAGATTCGAACTCAAGACCTACTGGTTTCACGCACGAGCACTTAACCACTAGACCACTGAGTCGGTACCCAGTAGGTGTGGGTTCGAATCTCGCAGGGGGCAAGGTCGTAGATGCGCACTGCTGAGGAGTCCCATACTAGAACGAAACGGCCGTCCAGTGCTTTTAGGTTCATCTGTTCGTTTTTTTCATAACAACAACTAAATTTCTTTTTGGAAATTACCATTTTGTAGATTTTTTATTTTATTTTAACACATAGATATTGGTACAAGGAGGCACCAAATACATATGCGCCACACAAATCTCATTTGATATGTGTGAGGGCTGTGATACTGCCCGGGTGCCCGAACCGAAGCAGGTGGTTTTTTTAGGGGGCCACACCCCCATTTTGTAGAAATTCATTAAATATTTCTACAACTATTAACTCAATCAATTTACTCATTAATATGGATCAATAATATTCTATTAATAACTTCATTGTTTCACTAACCCAAAACATGAAAAATTTCCTATTTAATAAATTGCATACTTTTATCTAAAATTATTCACTATTATTAAAAAACAAAAACAAAAATAGAAACCATAGCTTCTCTATTCATTTGCATATTGTAAACTCTTGAAACAAAACAATTAAATTAAATGATAATTCTGTAATCATTTATTTCTTTTAAAAACTATACAAGTTAAATTGGTACAAGTTATTACAATCCAATATATCATTATATTATATTACTTTCAATAAAATAAATATAAAGAGAAGTGTCAATAGGTTACTGATATAATTAAAAAGATAGTTTTGTTTTGTTTAAATTTTAAAATCATATTTGTTTATGGAAAGGTGGCATAAGTTGAAAGTGTGTAAAATATCATCTAAATCAATATTATCGTCACAAACGACAAACATGTCGTCCATATATCTTACATATAAGTGAAATCGATTGATCATTATAGTAAGTTGATCGTTTTTTAGTTTTGTGACCAACTCTATTCAATGATCAATCGATTTCACTTATATGTAAGATACATGGACGACACGTTTGTCGTTTGTGACGATAATATTGATTTAGATCATATTTGTTTGTTTAAAAAAAATAAGATACAACTTTTTCCTCTTCAATTTGATTTTTTTTTGTATTCGATTACATTTCTTCAAAGATCTTTTATTGAAGATTTTCTCTTGATATCATAACAGCAGATTATAAAAAATGTCCCAATTATACAGTATAATATAAAAAGAAGAAAAGAAATCAATAAATTAAAATTTCCATGTTGATCGAAATAAATTATTATTAAATAATAATTTCCAATAACTACAACGTTCTTTCATTATATTTACATATTTACATAATTGATCATTTTCAATTAAATTCACATTATATTGCCCCTTTTTTGATTCATGCCAATTAGATATATAACCAGTTCTTGCAAATTGATACATTGCTATATTAAGTAAATCACTAATATTTCTTAATTGATTTAATTCTTTTTCATTATGATATAAATCATTTAATTGTAATAAACTTGGATCTGTAAAATCATTATGTATTTCATAAGTTCTTAAATATAACATTGCATCCCAACCATGAAATGCATATGATACATAACCATTTAATGAATATGGATCAAAACATCTATGATTTCCAGTTAAATAATATTGATATATTGGATAATATTGATTTATAAATGTATTTACTAATTCAGTTAATGGACAAGTTAATCGACTATCAGTAATTAATAACATTAAATTAGATAACCAATCATGATCTTTATCAATTGTCTTATTCTCTATTATATTATTCATATATTTACAATTTATATGATTAGAATGATTTGATAAAAAATAATCAATATATTGATTATATGATGTAATATTTTTTATATTTAATTTTTCAATTATATAATTTTGATAAATATTTTTATTCCAAAATGGTATTGTTTTAGGTGTAGGATAAATGGATACTTCATGTGAGGTTTGTCCAATCACCATTGGTTTAATACTATTTGGTATAAGAATTTTATTCCATAAATCAATATTAACAAATTGATTATCATTAATTAAAATATTGATTAATCTATTTGTATTAATATTATTGAATTCATGAATAGATGGTAAACTAAATATGGAATTCATTAACCACTGTTCAATGATAGTCCAATTCCATATATTTAATATATTTATTGAATTATTTAATTTATAATTAGAACAATTATTAGGATTTATATCATCATGACAATTTAATGCATAATGAATTGTTTCAATGACATCATTTACGGATACATTTAATAAACTTAATCCAGGAGCAGTAATCCATAATTTATCAAATAATTGATTACTTATTGAACTATAAAATAATGTTAATGCACATGTTGCACCAGAACCATAACCAAATAAAATGACATTGAATGGATCACCACCAAATTGTGCAATATTATTACGAATCCATTGTAAAACTAATAATTGATCATGTAATCCGAGATTTGGTATTTTTTCATATGGATGAGGTAAAAATCCAAATGGACCAATTCGATAATTAAATGTTACATGTATGGCATCCGTTTTATATATAGTATCTGAGCTAGGCTGTTTTGGTTCATTACTGTACATAAAAAATAATCCATCTATTATAATAATTACTGGTTTTGCTTGATTTATTGACTTTTTATTAATTGGTACATGTATATTTAAGTAAAGACAATTTTCACTACCATCAAATGCATTCCCTGAGGATTTCGGTAGTAATTGTAAACATGAAGGTTTGTAGTTTTGTGTGTAATAAATCGAGTTCATCACTGTAGTGTTACTTAATTCCCAGGCTTTATGACATAATTTCTTTGAAGATAAATGAATGGGAGGTTTGAAACGATTCTCATTAATTGGTGGTAGAGCGTATGGTATTCCTAAATAACTTATTGTATAATCATCCTTTTGAACACCTTTAATTTGTCCACAGAAAATATTTACAACATTTGGTTGTGAATTATTAAACCATATCCCGAAGTATGATAAAGCAAATATGATAACAATCACAGTCATCAAAATGAAAGCTATTGTTATAATTATATTGAATAAACATGTCATTGAAGTGATACGTCGAAATCTACTCATTCTTAAATTAGTTACTGATGGTGACTGTATATACTCATTATCATTCCAATGGGCCGCTTCACCATAATTCACTGTTTCCATATGCATCTTGGTTTATTTTTAGCCTTCCTTGTTTTTTTAATCCCCAGTTTCTTTTGATTAGTGGCTGCTCAAGAGTTTTTTTCTTATTAAACTGCAAATATTGCAAATAACATAATGTATGAAAGTATCTATTTCAAAAGTAAAAAACTTCTTATTGAAATCATATCGACTTCCCTAACTTACATTTTATAGAAATAACTGGCTAATCAAATTACGTGGATGAATTCTAGCCAATCAGATTAATATTATTTAAAGAAATAAACTCAGGAAAAAAACAATGCAACTGTTTGCCTAAACAACTATCATAATAGAAATATTATATATGGATGGTAAAAGCATAAACACTTATAAGCAACGATAATAAAGTGATATTATGCACAATTATTCACTGAATGACAGAAAAACTCCATAGACATATTAAATTCTCTTGGTGGATACAAACACAACATAGATTGAGATATTAAAGAACTGAGTAGCTCTCTTTGGTCCATAAAATCATAAATTAACGACATCAAAAATGTCATCAGGTTGTGTATCAGAAGTATCATTCACGGAACCTGGGGTTTAAAAATGATCGGATCCATTTTAAAGCCCTCACTATAAAGTGATAAGTATTTCCAATCAATTGAATTTATCAGTTCATCTGGCATATTGATGGTAATTAAAGGTCACTTTCAACAGGCATTTGAGAACATACCTCATCACATCCTGTGCATCCATATGGTTTTAAAAATTCAGCTTATCTATGTATCGATTTGTATGTAGAATTCCATTTAATTTTTAGGACGTTTTTTATTCTTAACTTAGAACAACTAAAGCTCTAACTATTCATAAGATGATTCAGTCATACTTTCTATGTAGAAACATGTAGTACTGTAGTGAACAAGAACACGGGCGGGAGTAACCAAATGTAGTTGAAAACAGAATCTCTTAGTAAAATCTGAGAATCAAACAGTATATACTTCATTTGTAAAACGTTCATCAATTGTCTCAGACTTCATTGTTCCTTCGTTTCCACACCAATCATTATCTGTCCTCGGTCTCTTCTTTCCGATCTTCTCAACCCTCTACCACTGGGCATTTCACTTTTGATTGGTGTTATATACTACTTATGTCTGTCGACATCAGTAGCACGCACCTCAGTACTACTAATACTGCGGTGTGTTACTTATGTCTGTCGACATAAGTAGTATATAACACTAGTCATTCATTTCAAATTTTCAAGCTGATTCTAATTGAAGTACAACAAAAGCTTCACAATTAAACTAGAAATTTTCACAGAACACAACATTTCCGATTTCGATTTGTTAACTATAACTCTTCAGGAATACATTTTTTCAATGAGATAGTAACTTTGTGAAGATTGTGTTTGGACGGAATAAAAACATGAGATTATGTGCTTATTTTAACTGTGACTTTTATTCAGTTTCATATATTTCTTTCTACGAACTAATTCTTTCTTCCTGTACTGTATCCTTATACACAATCTTTCTTTTATACATTACTACCATTGAAGTGACTACTTTTATGAATTTAGTGGGTTTTTTTATGTTGTGCTAATGTAGTGTGGCAACTTGGACCGGTACATATATGTGCCTAGTCCTACATTGTAGATGCCTAACTGATTTTTGTCTTGCTTCAGTTTCATTTCCATTCATGTAACTTTGTATAAGTGCTTCTCAGTATTACATCAATTTGTACTTCACTGTTAGTTTTCATTCACTTGACGTTTGTTTAGTACAATATTCTTTTGTAGTTTATTGTTTGTGATTTTGCCTTCAGCTGACAATTGCTAAGTTTCATAAACTCTGTCACTATTAACTATTGATTCTAAACAGTATGTAACTAAATAAACTTAAGTGAAATTTCCATCTTTTAAGATTTTTATCAATAAATTATTTTTTTGGAATATTTGTATTTTGTAATATTTAGAGTTAAGTAGGAAAAGAAGCTGTCGTATCCTGTTTCAAAGTTCTGTCTGACTAACCAGTGATATCTCTCAAGTTCGCATCAGATCTTTGAATCGTTTTATCTTCTATCAAAGTTGGATTAGTGAGGATATCCTGTTCAATATGGATAGATATTATTTTTGTGCATACATTGAAATATATCGGTAATTCATACAACCGTTTGGATCTAAAGTTCTCTAAACTTTTCTTAATAACTCTCCTTATAAGTTAATACTTCAATGAAATAACTTCAGAGAACAATCAGTAAAACCAAAAAAAATTGATACACAAGGTGGAAGGGTTTTATTATCACAGAAAAAATTACTAGATAATCTATTAATTTTAAATTAATACCTGTAATGAGCATGATGTTTTAAGCACCCATATAAGTTGGCGCCATTCACTAAAAAATAGAACTAAAATTAAAAAAACTTTCATTATTTACCTCTTATCTCTTCTTATCAGACCCAAAAAATCAATACGTTTCTGGATTATGCTTCCGTATATTACAGTTAATAGACACTGTAATAAAAACAATTAAGTAGTCACTGAAGTCGGTGTCTCCTAAGCTGAGGAATTAGGTTGATAAGGCAACTAAAAGAAATAGTTAGGTATTCTAAAAAAAAGGAAACTAGTTTTCAAAACTTTAAAAAATATATTATTTAAATGTTGTAATTGAAATAATGCAAACATTTATTTTAATATGAGACACTTTAATCAGAATTAATGTATTTATCCTACATTATGATTGTTTAATGAAACATTCATGTTAATAGCTGATAAAGAAATAAGTAAAATGTTATAAACTAATGGCTATTTATAAAAGCCTAACTTGTCAACATTCAATGTATTTAGACTGCTATAGTTATAGGTAGATGTTTATAGACATAGCTTAATAATCTTTTTATCATATGTCTGCTGGAATAACTAAATGGCTTGAAATTTGCCACAGTAAATCGTAAATCGGAGGAATTAAGTAAGAACATGAGGACAACAAACTAGGATGTATTTGATATCTAAAATAAATTCAAATATTTGAATCCCGTCATTCTGAACGGCTTACATTGATTGATGGTCAGATATGTATACAATGAACTGAATAGTCCCTGGCACTAATTAGTGAACAGTTTACTGAATAAATAATAACTGTCCAAAATCAACTTCCTTAACTGTGAGAAAGCGTTTGACATTGTGGATAGGAGAAACTCATAAGACATTCTTCAACATTATTGTGTGCCTGAGAAATTCGTCGGCATCATACAGAATTATTAAGATGGACTACAATGAAAGTTGTGAATGGAGGATAGCTCTCAGATACATTCTAAGTGGGGACCGATGTAAGATATGGCTGATAACTCTCCCCCTCCCCCTTTCTTCTAGTGGTCGGCCGGATTCTGAACACCTTCACACCTAAAGGGAAGCATGGAATACAATGAACAGCCTGCATGCAACTACACGACTTGGACTTCACAGATCATCTAGTCCTTCTATCCCATACACACCAACAAATGCAGATGAAAACAACCAGTGTTGTAGCAAAATCTGCATCAGTAGGCCTCAGCATACCCAACGGAATAATTATGATCCTCATATGCAACACAGCGAACACCATCTCAATCACACTCCATCCAAAAGCTCTGGAAGTGGTTGAAACTTCCACGTACCTGAACAGCATCATCGATGAACGAGAAGGATTTGATGCAGATGCAAATGAAAGGATAGCATTCCTACACCTCAACAACATATGGAACTCAAAACAACTATCAACCAACATCAAAGCCTCAATCTTCAATACGAACCTCATGACGGTTCTACTGTACACAACTGAAACTTCGAGAAGTACTACTGCCATCATCAAAAGTGTACATGTATTTATAAACAATTGTCTACACAAGATACTCAGTCTCCATTGGTCGGATACCATCAGCAACAACCTACTATGGGAAGGAACAAAGTAGCTTCCATCTGAAGAGTTGGTTAGGAAAAGACGTTGAAAGTGGATATGAAACATATTGAGGAAATCAATAAACTACATCACGAAGCAATCTCTAAACATAAATTCAATTGTATGACATTTGTTGTCAAGATCTACCTGTCCTTCCACAATTACATAAGATAAAGTTATAAATGATTACATTATCTCCTTCTTATTTAACTAAAACAGTGAACTTACTTTAAACGTGGTATAATTTACAGTATTTTAAAGCATTAACTATTTCAGAGAAAACTATTTGATTATCATTCCATATTAAATGTTTTTCTGATTTAACAAAAATATTATTTAGAATTTAATGGATATTTCTGGTAACTATTTCTATTACCATAAACATACTCAAGTTTACACTGTTCTTTCACAGATTTATTTTACTATCCTAAATTGGAACCTAAACATTATCGATCATTTTAAATATTAATTCCTATCGATCAACCCAGCAACCAGTTATATGTCTATACTAATTACTGAATTAACCAATACTTCTATTACTTTTTAATCGTTAGATTCTTTTTTGAAATGGTAGAAATAATGAACTAACGTGAATGAAAAATCAAAATGGTTTCATTATCGTTCCTATCATCTTTATAATGAATGTATTATCTGTATATCTTTTATTTATAGAAAAAATTATCACTGATTATTTGCCAAGTATAATTTATTTATTCATTTGTTTGTTTCCATTCTCATTTAGTCCTACATGTAGTAATGTTCTGAATGATTAACCTGGCACGCGATTCCACATCTGAATATATATATATATATATATATATATATATATATATATATATTTGTATGGTTATACTTCTATATTTAATAATACCTATTGTGAATAAACTGGTTTAAAGGAAGCAATTGACTTTTGTTTTTAACTTACAATCAAATTATTTTTAGCGATTTAAATATCATACTATTGATGAAATAGTATGATTTACCGGATATATATCAGTACTGATTCAATACTTATTTATTAGTAATATATTACATGGCTAGAGGAAAAAATTAAAAATCACATAGGAAATGATCTTTTATTACCTATTAAAAATTACTTCATAGATTAACAAAACATGAAAAGAAATCTTCTTAATTGTTTCTACGTATTTTTAAGTAGTGTGTCAAGTTTATGGAACAAAAACAGAAAAGTTCTATATTCTAGTAATTTTATTTAATACTATACTTAATAATAAAATTAGTGACAAAGTAAAAAGATATGCAGTTACATTGATAAATACAATATGAACACTTACATACATATTAAATACTTAACATACTAGTTGATAATGTTAACGATTTCGTTAAAGGAAAATTGTTTTCAATGTAAAATGTATCTTGAATAATACTTTTAATTGTTTGCATGTCATATATAAATTAATACGATGATCCAAGTTATGTCAAAGTATCAGATTCATTATTTGAAGCACATGCCGAATAAGTGATAACAAACAGTAGTTATAAGTAATCAGTAAGAACCTTCAGACATAGGTTTCACTTTGACTGACTGAGTCGCATTCAATCATGTCATATTAATCAGTCTACTAGTTTACATTTATAGCTTTAGTTGTTTTATGATAGGTTATTTGGAAAACAATCAGAATTCGTTATTACACGGTCAAGATTATTTGAAATACTATCCTTTTTCACAATAAACAGTGAAGGGACATGATATGGTGAGTAAAAGCTTAAACAATTGGAATGGGAATGACATAATAAATTGATTTTTTTTCCATTTGTGTGTGTACTTTTTATATCTTAAAAAGAATTATAAATGTTTAATCGCATAATATGGTAAATATGTGTTCGCATAGTAAGTTATTGAATGATTATTATTACATACAACTCAATAAATAAATCATATAAAATGTGATTCATTCTAAAATCATTTCAATTAATTTTGGTAATCAAATAAATCCTTCTCACCAGTCTTCTCGTCTTTTCTCTTATGTTCAAGTTGCCGTGAATATTTAGCCTAAGGTTAATAAAAGAGCTGAGGAAACTGATTCAAGAGTTCATTTAGAAGACTTATCTGAACAATTGCTATCTAGTTTACATATCTGTTTCCGTAATATAAAATAGATCTTTGTATCAGTCATTGCATCAGTTAATGTACGATGCTATTCTTTCTGGTCAACTGATATTTAAGTGTATGATGGTCATTAGTATTTACATTAAATTATGTTATATTTCCACATCACATGCCTCCACCCATATTTATTTTAACCAATAAATTAGCAATTTCAAACACATAAATAATGACAACTATTTTGATTTGGTATCTTAACAACAATAATAACATTTCTGTAATCGTCGTTGCTGTTGGTAGCAAGCCTAAAAACTACAATATTAGTGCTAATTAATTGCTGTGTGGTCAAGTTGATAGTAATCATTACATGTTTTTGTCAAAAAGCTTCTGTTTAAATTAAAAATTTATGGGCAACTTTATGACCGTCATTAATAAGGAATATGATCGTTTCCGGACTCAGCTAAATATGATTTAATAATTTGGTCAAGATTATACCTGAATTGTAACAGTTTCTCAATTTGCTTCAGAACAGAAACGTACCGTAGCCATATATTATCTGACTGGAGGATAAAATATAATTTCTTCCAGTAGAAAGGTCATACAGTAGTATGTCAAAACAATCACATCGTTTCATCGAAGACTTTGAATTAGAAGACATTTTACTGATTCAGAGTTTACAGTGAACTATAATCTCAAGCCACTAAATCACGTACTGTTTGTTCCCACTTTTTTCGCCTTTATCACAAAAGTATTTCTAGAAGTATCACTTTGTTTGATTATTCGCTAAGAAACCCATTTTCCTAAAATCCTTATTTTTACCCAAATGAAAACTTCACCTGTAGCTCTTATAGGGTTACCGTCGGTCCCAAGCCCACATAAAGGAGGAGGGTCGGACATCGGTCAGAGACCTCAGCCCGTAGAAAACAAACTTGCTAAACAAACGCCAACCAGAATAAACATTTCAAACCATTTAAATTCTAACCTCCGAGTAGAAGGGTTTTCATTCAGAAGAATTATGACGCCTCGTGGTGAAAGCCTAGATTCTTTAGAAGTCACTAGGCCGTTGCCTCTTCCAACAACTAGAGCAACAGTTAATGTGGGTACATGAAACGTACAGACAACATGGGAGACCGGGAAAACCAATCAAATTGCTGTGGAAACGAAGAGACACAAATTAGTGGTGTCCGGAATAAGTGTAACCCATTGACCTCAAGCTAGACAGAAAAGGTCAGATTCGGGAGTGATGCTGCTGTACTCGGGTAATGAAGAAAATGTGCCATACACTAAAACAGTTGCCTTAATGCTAACCAACAAAGCATGAAAAACATTTGATCAAACAATAGAAAAACAGATTGATCATCTTTGTATCATTAAAAAATCTAGATGGATAATGAAAGATGTCAGAACCAGGAGAAGAGCTGACATAGCTTCAGATCTCTACCTGTTTGTGGCCAGAATGAAACCGAAGTGAAATAAGAACTTTACAACCGGGGAAACAGCGTTACAATACTTCCCTCTATCCTTCCTTTGAGTTTCTGACAAACTCAACCAATTTAAGATGACTCTCAACAACAGGTCTCAAGCCTCACAAGGTCTACTCAAAGAAGAAACTACTATGGTGAATAATTGGAAATGGATCAAAGAAGCACTAACTGTAACGTGCAAGCGGTCCTGGGTCTCAAGAAGCATCATCATAAGTGGTGGATCTCTATGGAAACCCTGCACAAGATTCAAGAAAGAAAGAACAAGAGGACAGCAATTAACAACAGTTGAACAAGAACAGAGAAAGTCAAGACACGAGCGGAATTCACAGAAGCAAACAAGCAGGTAAAGAAGAACATTTGGGCTGACAAGCAGAAATACGTAAATTACATAACAATCACAGCGGAAAACGCTGTAACAGAAGGAAATATAGAACAACTACATGACGCAACGAAGAAACTGGAGGGAAAATATTGTAAGCCAGAGAGATTGATCAAAGACAAAGCAGGCAGGACAATCACTGAGATTTAAAAACAGCGGAACAGGTGAGCAGAGCACTTTGAGGAACTCTTGAATAGGCCGGACTCCTCAAACCTACCGGACATCGAAGCAGCACTCACAGGCCTTCCTATCGATATCACTCTACCAACGATCCGAGAAATTAGGATGGACGGTCATCAGAAAAATCAAGAGTGGGTAAGAAATAGGGCCTGACGATATATCAGGAATACACTAGCATTCTGCGAGAATTCGATCATGATAATTTCCAATACATCACTTGAACGTGGTTGACCTATTCAGCATTCCATTTTGAATTTAAGCAGATAGCCTCAAACGAAGAGATAGAATCAGTTAATAGAGTTGTAATCCCACATCAATTTAGTTAGTTGGCTCTTCCAACCATTCCGTGTACCCAGTTTCTGCCCCCTTTATTAAATAAGCAGGTTCAGAAAGCTACTGGATTAATAAAGCGAAAATGCAAAACTAATTTATGAAACTTATTGTTTATTCGCATAATTCTGAAAAGCTCATATTTCTTTGTGACATTTTATGAGGAAATCATAACCACTAGTTGAATAGTATTATACAAATTGTGGACTTTGAAAATTTCAAGTCTATTCCTTCCCCTATACACACAAAAGTTCAAAACTAGACCTAAACAATTTTTCCATTATTTGTCGATTTGAATTGAATGAAGAATATATTTCTTAAAACCAATTGAAAGAAGAATTCAGATCATAAATAGTTTACTATAAAATTTCAAGAAAAAAAAGTAATTATTATCATCACCGGTATACATTTTTCTGTTTAACACACTTCATCATTCTATTTCTGTTATATCAGAAATGAGAGATGGTATGAAAATTTACTTGTTTACTTTGTATTTGCTTGAAGGGCGAAAGATTTATTGATATAAATTTTTGAGTTAGATTCTGTGTTTTTTTCTCCCGTTATCATCCAAGACATTTTATCCTACCAGTTTAATTAAGATACTGGGCGTGGTCAACCAGTACATATATATATATATTTTTAAACTTTTTTCTACAAACATGATACTACTACTTTTTATAAATGTCATAAATGTAATGTGTTTTTTTTGGAAAAATTATTCACTCAGACAGGCCTACTCAAAAATTAGAATCATAGTTACATATGTACACTTACACCCATATTAATATTAGGCAATACAGACCGGTTTCGTCAAATTCCAATATATCACAATGTATCACACTTGTGAGTGGAACAATTCAGTATCTAATCTTTCTAGGTAAAGATGTTTTGTGAAGTTTTTCTTCATATTTTGAAAGTAATTTTAATCTCATAGAAAACCAGTGAAAATTACAAAGCACTGAATATCAGTACTTTTTAAATTAGCGATTGATTGACCGGGCATATCCTCGTTTTGGACAACAAAGCCATTTGAACCTTTAAAACTAAGCTCAACGGCATAAATATGTCATTGTACCTTTAAGGATTATATATATATAATAGAAGTAATTTCGAAGTTATTTTCCATGACTTTAAAAATTATAACAGTTATTCAATCAAGTAGAAAATATCAGAAAATTATTCAAGCTCGTGTGAAATCATAATTATGCATACTTACACTTCATCTCGCATAATATGATTCTTTCATTGTCTCAGAGATATCTAAAGGAAATCGAATAGTTTTTATGACATCCAACGATTATTGTCAAAGATTTTGAGATGGATATTAATTTTCTCATAAAAAATAACGAAATACCAAAGGAAAAGTAGTCATCTGTACTTCCTGTAATAGAATGTTTCAATATTAACAAATGAAATATATATCGTATACTTTATTGCTAGTAAATAAGCGTGTATAGAAGAAACCCCTCTGCCTGCCAATATACTCACTTCTGCAGTTTAACACCTATTCGGTACAAGAGAAATTTGGTTAGATGTCTCACTAGCAGAGCTAAAAAAATCTGCACAGTAGACACTCCAAGTCTGGAGCTTGAATTCATCAACAACTCACTGACCGAGATCGGCTATCCCAGTGCTTTCATTAAGAAGTACATGTATGACAATTTGTATAAAAGTTGAAAATTTCCTCGTTCATGAACATCAAGTGTACAGAGTGTCTGTTTAGGTTTATGTTTCTGTGTACCTGCTGAAGTGTGTAAATAAAAGTATTAAAGTAGCACATTATGCACATATGCCAATAACAGACTGATCAATTGCAGTTTTAAACCTCAATGGAAAGATTCAAATAAACAATACCAAGTG